GGCTGCCTAGGAAACAATCAGACAGGAAAGTCAGAAGCCCCCAGTGGCTTAATAGTCAGAGAAAGAAACTTAGGAAAGACCTGCTCTAATGGACCACAGTTAAAAGTGACTGTGGGAAGTTTATGCTTTCAGAAACTTTGCAGTGAAGTAGAATTAGTCATCTAGTCCTGTTTCGTGTCTGGTTTACCTGGGAGGGCTGACACAAACAAACTTTGACATAAAAAGAATTTGAGGGGGGGGGACAATTTGAAGGCTTGATAAATTTGAATATGCACTCCATTTTTTTCTGCTGTTAACAGACCTTTTAGAGTTCTTTTAAAGATGGATCCACTTATTACCTCAAAACTCAGCAAAACAAACCCAATACTGCACTAGTGGCTTTGTGCATTTATGCCCCATCCATTTTTCTTTTGAAGGCCATGTGTATATTTAAACTCATCCAACTTTACCAAAAGAGTCTTTATTAGAAAACAAATGTGGTTTATCTTCAAGATAAATAGTCAGTGGCATGATGTGAGCGGGAAACAATAAGGTCCAGTATGGCATCCTTATTTGCCATGTTTTTCTGGAACTTTAAAACTCCATTCCTTGTTGGCCCTACTCTACCTAACCCAGTTGTACCCAGGACATGACCCATTTTTCCTGTTTTGCTGGCTCAGGAAGGAAAATCCAAAATACATCATTGCAATTACAAGTACTAAGACAACTTCTGATCACATCACCAAAAGCAGCACAGAATGTTTGAATCAGTTTCAGTCAAAATGATCTTTTTTTTGATCCATGTTAGAACCAAACCAGACCATTCTATGTTGTACATAACTCATAAAACACATACTTTTTTTTTTTTAGTACAAACTATTGAGGTTTCTTTTGTAAACTCCGCTACAGACTTCCATATGAAGACTGGAGCTTTTGTAGATGTAAATAATAAAGACAGTTTGGTCTGTTGTTTTTTAAAATGGAGCAAGTCAAAGTTATATTTATTCAAAGATAATGTTTAAATCAGAGGAGGCCTGAGAATTGTTCAAGCTGGAGCATGATTTGCATTTTGTATATTAATACATAGAAGTGAATGCTGTTAATTTAATGGTTTTGTACTTCTCCAGCTTTTGTAAGGCAACTTTCATTTTACAGAAATTATCAGGGTGTAAGAAATGCATATTTTATGATAAATCACACATGAAATCTGTATTTATAGTATAATATACTCTGAATATTAGTTTATCATAGAATACAGGTACTGTTATCCTTGACATATGACCACAGTTGGGATGAGAATTTCCATTGCTAATCAAGGCAGTTGTTAAGCGAGTCACTCCTGATTTTACAAGCTTTTTTTTTGTTTGCCACGATTGTTAAAAGAATCACTGAAGTCGTGAAGTGAATCACGTGGTTGTTAAGTCTGGCTTCCCCTGTTGACTTCCCTTGTTGCAAAGATTACAAAATTGACGTTGTTTGAAATGAGCGTGTTCTTCATTTGAAGCAATTTCTGGTTCAGTATACATCAAAGCCACTTTGTCAGTAAATGCCAATGTTGTATAGAGAGATACATGTAAGAATCCATTTGGGGAAAATCAGAATTTATCCACCCTGAAGGATAGAAACTCCTCCTGCTTGGAAGAATCTAGAAGAAACCAAAGGGAGAGGGGCCCCCCCCAGAACTGTCTCCTGGATAAAAGGGGATACAAATCTAAATAACAAGAACAACATAAATTGTTTCCGGATAGCTAGCGTATGAACACTATTTTCTTATTAAAAGGCAATAGAAGATTTTTATGTCTAGAACTACGGATAGTTCTCAACTTATGGCCACAAATTTTTTGCTGCCAAAAAATTTGTTAAGTGAATTTTGCCCCATTTTATAACTTTCTTGCCACAATTGTTAAGTGAATCACTGCAGCTGTTAAGTTAGAAACACGGTTGTGAAGTGAATCTGGCTTCCCCATTGAATTCGTTTGTCAGAAGGTCACCAAAGGGGATCACATGACCCGGGGACACTGTAGCCGCCATAAATATGGGTCAACTGCCAAACATCCGAATTTTGATCATGTCACCACGGTGATGCTGCAGCGGTCATAAGTGTGAAAAACAATCATAAGTCACTTTTTTTCAGTGCAGTTGTAACTTTGAACAGTCATTAAATGAACTGTTATAAGTTGCGGACTACCTATACTGTTTTGAAGCGTAGCTGCCAAAATTGCCTGTAGATTGCTTCCATTAGTGTAAAATAAGTTACCATTTGTATCTATTTGAAGCAGCTATTACATTTCCAAATATCAGCTTAGAGGCAGTACTTAATATGCCTGCTAAGCTCTCCTTTGTTAATTTGAAATTGCTTCCTCTGCAAACTGGATATTTACTAATGGTATGTCCTCCCTCGCTTCTGTTTATCTGTCTTTTGTAACATTTGCTGAGAATATTTGGTATCTATTCCCTGCTGCTGAGGTCAACTTTTGGAATTTTTCCTTTGCTGGTTGAGTTTCCTCCATCCTAATTTCATCCCCCATTTTTGTACTAGATCCTAGAAGGACAGGTTTCCAAGGGTGTTACAATAGATGGGGTAATTGAATCCGGAATGTGATTGTATCCCTTCTCTCTGTCCAGGGGATTTGGGCTTACCTAGGCAGCCATACATCTGTCTCAAATTTGCCTCCAGCAATGAACAGTGCTCCTTATTTCTAACATACCTTTCACCTTTTGAGTGCTCCTGAGGTTGGGTCACCATAATAAGCCCAATCCTATTACAATTAAAGCTCTTTTTTCATGAAACCTCTCTGTGTTGTTACTGTAGTTAAAGATTACATAGCTTCATAGTATAGCATAATAGCCAGTGAAGTCTGGGGAAGGGGCCAAGGAGAAGCACCGTTGAATGAACCCATGGTGGAATGTAGTCTGGATTCCCAGGAGGCAAGGGCTGCGTTCCTGAGGAGCAAAGAACAGGGAGGTTTAGATAGTTTGAGTGGGAGGAAGAGAGTCAGAACAGCTCCTCCCTAGGAATTCTTAGAATATATGTTTAAAGATGTAAGTTGGGGGGGGGGGTTGGTCTCCAAACTTTGCCATTTTTAAGACTTGTGGATTACTCCCAGACATCCTCAGCCAGCCATGCTGTATTCTGGGAGCTGAAGTCCACAAATCTAAAAGTCGCCAAGTTTAGAGTTTTCTGGTGTAAGAAGTAGTTTGGCAAGATTTCTGTCTACGGCAGCGGTTCTCAACGTTTGTGTGACGGCGACCCCCGTCACACAAACGTTATGTGCATGCACGGCGCGGCGCGCATGGGGGCGGGGCCCCCTGCATGGTGCGCATGTGCGCCGCCGCCCCCAGAGGCGCGCCGGCGCCCCCATGCGTGGCGCGCATGTGCGGCGCTGCCCCCGGAGGGGAGAAAATGGCGGATCGCCGCCTTTGGCAACCCCCGAAAAGTGGTCGACCCCAAATGGGGTCGCGACCCATAGGCTGAGAACCGCTGGTCTATGGACAAGGAACAATAAGGGAAACTGCTTAGATGAACCTTTGTTGGGTTGTAGCAGCCTGACTGAACCTGACATAGGCTTGTCCCCATTGCATTTGATATTTCAAACATGCAAATAGGGCACTTTGCAACAATCTCAATTTCAGAAGTGCTACTTCACAATTTAAGCAAATTCCCTTGAAAACGCTTTTTGTAAAAGATGGGTTGTTTTTAAGTGTAGCGCAGTGAAAAAGTTCTCACTCCTGTCCACTTTGTTTTTTTCCACTTGTTACCAGCTCAGGTGGATAGTTTTGTACTATGTGGGAAGTACTAGCTGATGCTTCTGGAAGCACCTAATTTCTAAGTATTCTTTGAACCATAATGAGGTATATGATGAAGCTCCTATGACAAGCTGCAGAAAGACAAGAATTAAAAAAAGTTATTTTAGTTTGGAATAATAGGCAACATCATCTGTAGTTTATGGATATAGTCTGCTATCAGTTTTTACTTCGTTGTAAACATGAAACACAATAAAATTATTTATTGCTGTTAAAGTTTGTGACCTTTAAGTATGCTAATGCTGACGTTTTTCTGACAGTATGATCTTTAACTAACAAGGATTGTTATTCCTGTTGTTTTCAAGTTTTTAAGGCGCTAATCTGATGCTAATTTATGTTAGCTGTGATGCCATAGTACTGTTTAGCGTTCTGTCCTTTCTGATAAAGGAGAACATTTGTAGCTCATGGTTGAAATGAGGGTTCCTCTCATTCTGTCCTTTTTATAAGATTTTGTTTTTTTTTTTAATTTCACTTGTCTTTTATGCTTAATCTCTATTAGTATAGGTGTGGCCATTAAAATTAAAATTCACATTCCATACCAGGAATCAATATAGTGAGATTTGCTATCTGACATTCAAGAATTAGGATAGTGATGTCAAGAATCTCCAGACATCTTGAAATATTGTTTGTAAAATAAAGTGGGACTTTTAACAAGAGCCCATTTTTCTGACATTTAAAGGGGATGTCTTTAGATGCTCATGTGAATAGAAAAAATAAGATGTAAAGCCAAACAGTCATGAAATACTATTGATATTTGTGCAAGGATTAAAAGTATACAAATTCCTGATGAAGATAATTGGTAATAATGCATCTAATTTTAATTCTGTTAGGTTAAGTAATAGCTGTAGTGGACAAGAAACATTTTATTGATTGAAATCTAACTAAATAGAATCAGACATCTTGATGTATTTTACTTTAATAAATATATATAATTTAAAAGTCCTTTATTGGAAGAATGGCAAGTTTAGGGTTAGGATTACAGTCTTAATTGTTATAATATTTGTATTATATATATAACGTGTGTCATGATGCATGCATGTATGAAATGACAGAGCTTGAATCACAGTAGTTTTATTATTTTTTGTCTATCATGATCCATAGAAATCACTGTTTAACATCTGTGTCTACATTATCAATTCTGATAATAAGAATATCATGATGTTGTATTGCTATATAAACCTTTAATTTTAAATTAAATAGTATCTTTTCCGCAACAGATCTTTGTGTACACTTGTATGTAAATGGACATACTCCTCAGAAACTGGCTGGGATGATAGTTTCTGGAAATCAGTTGGATTAGAAGATCTGATGGCAAATAAATACTCAAAAATAGGTAATGTATAGTATTGAATTATTTTTGTTTGTAGGTTTCAATAAGAAATTTTAAGGCTAGATAAGAGTCCATTCAAATGTAATGGAAAGCCATGTTTACTATTATAATTATACATTTTGGGGACTTTATTTAAGAAAACAGTTGTATCTCTAAACTACTGTTGTTACATTGTATACTGTATTCTACACTTCGTGGTAGAAAATTGCTGGAATCTTTCTGTCTAAATTATGACAATAGATACTTTACAAATTGAGGGTATCTGGCTAGAATCTGGTTAAACCTTTTGTTTCGTGTTTTAGCTTTTGTTGTGCCAAGGACTGATGTAAATGTAACTCGTATATGTTATGCTTGAATTAAGAAAAGGACGGTTAATGTGTATAATATGACTTGTTCTGGCTTAATGCAAGTATAGTTTAGGTGATTTTTAGATCTATTTTGAATGCATTTTAGGAAGCATTAAATTTTCTCCCTCCTGTTTTACCACCACAAGAACCCTATGAGGTTGGCCAGAGAGAAAGGATATGTTGTAAGCTTTTGTAGTTGAGAGTGGAGTGGAACCAAGGTCTGTCTGCTTGGATACCTTAACTGCTACATTATACTGTCTCTGTAATAAAGCAATATAAACCTAGATCCGTTTAAAACGTGGGCGAAAACAAAACAAAGTATCCAATATTTATTCATGGAAAAATAAATGAAAACAGAGGTCTAATTGAAAATTACATTTATTATTAGGTTTTATGAATTTCAGGCAGGGATGATCACAGAGATGGCCCAATGGTGTGTGTTACAAGGTCCACACATTGTCAGTTCTGCACCTAAAACAGATAATCTAACTGTGATTGAACAACAAGTTCAGATAGCTGCAAGACTATCACAATGGGTAAACTTGATCTTGAGAGATTGGAATTGGTCTGTTCTTCCTTTTTCAGCAAACAAATTCTAACTGTGGATAAAATCTTCAAGTACTGAGATTTAAGGAAGCTATTCAAATCCTAAAATGGTAGTTGGCAGAAATGTTTGTAGAAGAGAGTCAAAAGAGAGTAAACACTGAAAACCCCAATCCTATGGGATACCTCTGATGGTTGATATCTTAATCCAGTTTTCATAGAAGTTCTCTGGGTCAGTCAAAAGATAAATCAAGGAATTTCTAGCCACTATGTACAACCATGATAAATTGATATTTTTCTTGACTTTCATCAAACATGACCCCACATTATGATTCTAATACACAGCCATTCCTAGGTAAAGTGTTAGGTATTATCCATTTTTTGTACCTCTTCACAATAGACTTCCTTAGAGCAGGGGTCCCCAACCCCCAGTCCATGGACTGGCAGAAACCCATCCGCATAAACAACCAAAGCCCCATCCGCGGGATACAGACAATACATGAAACCACACCCCCTCCGGTCCGCAGAAAAACCTCTCTCCATGGAAGCAGTCTCTGCTGCCCAAAAGGTTGGAGACCTCTGCCTTAGAGTATGCAAGAAAATGTCACTTTCTAAGCAGTCACATGTGATACTGCCTCAGTCCTGAAGCCTACTATGACAAGGAGGGCATGGCCCTATTCAGAGGTAAGGACAGTGAAAAGTTAAAGGGTTGCTGTGTCATGTATATTCCAGAAAATATTTAATAAACTGAAAATATTATTACAGCATTAAGTGCCACTGCTTTTCCTCCACAACAATCCCAACACACCAGGAATGGATAACAATCTTGAAACTACTTTGCAGTTATCATGCACCTTTCTTTTTTTTTTTTTAAAATGTAATTTTATTTCCAAAGCTAAAATACAAAATCCAAAAAAGAAAGAAAACAAAGAGGAAACAAAAACAAAACAATACAAAACTAGAACAATGCACATAAAGACGAAGTAACAAAGATATACAATCTACTTTGTCACTTTGTCATCATGCACCCCTTCTGTGTCCCTCTCCAAAATAATTATGTGAATCACAGATAGCTCACTCTACATAGTACAGAAGAGTATTTGATTTGGACTGGTATACCTTCTGCTGTTTCTAGTAAAAAAAAATCTGGATTTTAAAAATGTGATTAAGCTGATATAATTTAACATGCTTTGTGAACTCAGCTATAATTATTTTACCAATTTGAGCCAAAGTTTAATGACAGTGTTAATCTCATTAACTGCACAGTACTTAAAATGGATTTCCATTTAAAACTGTAATGCTCATTTGGCGAAATTTTTCCAGGCTAATTGTAATCAATTTTCCTTGTTCACTTAATGGGCTTTTAATAGCTAAGCTAAGCAGCCATGACATGAATGGGAACATTAGCATACATTTTTAAATAATTACTTATTTTAAAATACCCTTCACAGTTAATCATTTAGGTTTTCTTTTTCAGCCGTAGTGTAATTTTCTAAAATAAATGGAAATCAGAAGATATCAGTAATGTATGAAGGTTTCTTGTATTCAATAACTTTCGTATGCTACTTTTTTATTTATGTTACATTGAAAATTTTGTATAGGCTGTTCTTCATTTATTGTACTGCTAATAAAGAGTAATATCATATAGTAAAATCTTTTGTCAGATGAGAAGAGAAAATTTGCATGCTAATTTGCCCTAAAAGTGAAAAGAATTGTATACTTCCTGTCTTAGAAGTTGTAGGTAGATCTTAAGGTCTGTTAGAAAGGCATTGCAATAGATTTGTTATCCATAAGAAAGTACTTGTGTCCAAATTGTTCACAAGGAATCTTGACCTATGTGTTGAGTCCTCCCTCTGGGATCTGCTTCCTGTGTTTGTTCACTTAACATCCACAGTTTTGGGACTGAGGGCTAAAACATATGAAAAGTGGTTGCAGGAATTGGGTATGTCCAGTTTAATAAAAAAAAAAGGACTAGGGGTGACATGATAGCAGTCTTCCAATATTTCAGAGGTTGCCACAAAGAAGAAGGGTTCAACCTATTCTCAAAGCACCTGAAGGCGGGACAAGAAGCAATGGTTGGAAACTAATCCAAGAGGGAACCAACCTAGAACTAAGGAGAAATTTCCTGACAGTTAGAACAATTAATCAGTGGAATGACTTGCCTCTTGAAATTGGGGATGCTCCAACACTGAAGGTTTTAAGAAGACATTGGCAACTATTTGTCTGAAATGGTATACAGTTTCCTGCCTGGACAGGGATTGAATTAGAACAGGGGTCTTCAAACTTGGTCCTTTTATGACTTGTGGACTTCAACTCCCAGAATTCCTCAGCCAGGCACGCTGGCTGAGGAATTCTGGGAGTTGAAGTCCAAAGTCATAAAAGGGTCAAGTTTGAAGACCCCTGGACTAGAAGATCTCCAAGTTCCCTTCTCAACTCTGTTATTCTGTTATTCTGCTTCACCTATTTTTCCGCTTTCCAAAACTAGGAAGAAAAAACCTTCTCTATTGGCAGTACAAATAATGGCTGTTAAGCGGGAATTCCTTAAATGCTCCAGATTACTTCCATAGGAGAACGTAAGGCTTTGGCTATGTTCTCTGGCGTCATCTAGTACAGTGTTTCTTAAACTGTATTTCATGGAACACCAACATTCTCTGAATAACTCGACATCTTGTTAACATGTTCCTTGAATTGTTTCCAAGATTCAAGCCAACATTTTTGTGGATTTTGGATCTATTCAGTAGTATCAGAATTAAAGGAGCACTACTCATAGTGTTAAGGAAGATATTCGCAGATCTTTCCTTAGATGTTACACTGAAACCATTGAATTAAAAAGTAATTATGAAAGACTTTTGGACGAAAGTTTACCCCAAATATGAGCTTTTAAGTATTTTTTGAAGGACTCACTGGAGAAGAGCCTAATGCTGGGAAAGATTGAGGGCAATAGAAGAAGGGGACGACAGAGAATGAGGTGGTTGGATGGAGTCACTGAAGCAGCAGGCGTAAGCTTAAATGGTCTCCAGAAGATAGTAGAGGACAGGAAGGCCTGGAGGAACGTTGTCCATGGGGTCGTGATGGGTCAGACACGATTTTGCAGCTAACAACAAAATCTTTGTGAGACTGGGTTTACAACATTTATTGTTACCAAGACCTGTTGAATTGCTATGTTGATTCCTTCTTCAATTAATGATTTCAGTCATTGACAAAATATAAAATCATATGTAAGCTCATGCAACCAATTACAATTTACAATCTATTTATTATATGTAAAGAAAGATTGAAACATTATTGAAATATAAAATATTTCCATACCTTTTATTTTTTCCCCGTTTTAAAAAGAAATAGCCATAGCTATTCCTTATTGAAAAGTTTAATGCTGTAACAATGATCTTGCCAATTGGGGAAGAATTTGATTTTGAACAGATCTATTAACCCCCCAGTAGAAAGCAACTGAAAGCTTCAGTGCTGGAGCAAATACACAGAAATTTCCCAGGTGATAGCCTTGGGGGGGGGGTTGTGCTCCCCCTCTTTTTTTTCGCAATGTTATAGATGCTCTTAAATATTGGTCTTTCAATTTTTCTCTCCTCAACTTAAGTACAATCCTAATAGCAATTATCTTTTGACAATTATTTCTTTCTACACTAAAAGGATACTACTTATATGTTTTAGCAGAAATTTGAGCCCCCTAATGGCCAAGTTGCCCTGCGGTGGAAAATTATTATTTTTTTTAGCTTAAATAATTTATGAAGCTCAAGCTGGAGTTTGAATACAATATTTATATTGTTTATTTCAAGGACAAGGGAAGCACTTCTTTTACCAAACCTATCTGTGCAAATAAGAAATTATTTTATATAATTGATAGTTTGAGATAGTAAAAATTAGGACGTGGCATGTAATAAGCAACAATTTGTACAGTATGGAAATGATAATTAAGTATTTTTAAGATACCTTTTCTGTAGTTGAACTGTAAATGTATAAATGTGAGTAGTAGATTCCATTAGTTTTTATGCTAACTCTGATTTTTGTATTTTGCAAGTTCATTTTATCTTATTACATAATACAGAATGCTGTGGCAGGTTTTTTTTTCCTACTACAACTTGATTCCAAAGTTCTGTG